AGCTCCATAGTCTATCATGCATCATCTGCAAACTGCTTCTGTTCAATATGTCAGTGTTAAATGCAAAACTCTTCCCAATACACAACCAGAATGTTACTCATTTTTTCCTAACTAAAATTCATTTTAGTTCTCCGCAGCTTTAATTGAACTTATATTACTAAAACTAGCTTGACACAAGCCATGAAGAAGAAATTAATAGTCTACTAAATAAGAACTGCCACTCAGCATTTCCTAAGTTAAATGTAAAAATTAAGACTGAATAAATGTATGCTAAGTATCATTGCATAAATATGCATATAATGCATTTTCCTCTTTTAAAAAAGCGTTAAATTTAATGTAAAGACATTTAATTGCATATCAACATTTTAGTGACGATCAATCACTGAAAATCAATGATTCTTTTAAATAAATGCAGAAATATATTTAAGTCAAATCCAACTACATTTTTGTTTACTTTTCAATCACTTAGACTTCAGGCAGTTCACTCTATGGTTAGGAAACAGGATCTCAGGACATAACCCTCCTAACTATTAAGGCATTTTTCCCTTCTGCAATCAACACAGTTGTTATGCTGACAGTGAAATCAACTGGTGACCCAAATTTCTCATCCAAAAATGCATCACTGAGGGTTTACCCACACTCAGTCTTTTTACAGATTTTTTTTTTAATGCCATTAAAATATTCCAATCCTATTAGAATGCAAATATAAAGGGGTAGAGAGAGCACGCATAATACCATTAACATTCAAAGATTTCTTGGTCCCCATTATCAGATATTAATTCTCACATTAACTGATGCTTTGTTAAAATAAAAAAAAAAAAGAACGAATCCATTAGCAGCTGCATTAAAAGCGAACAAAAGAGGCAACAACTGCTGATGTGATTATGCACCTAACCCTTTCTGAAAGTTCCCGTATCCAAGAGCACCAAACACGGCGCTGCTTCAACTTTCATTTCGTACCAGGGATGTAAGTACATGTCACTGAAAAACAACCTTGATAGGGTTTCCCCCCATGCTGGTATTTTTAGCAAGCTTTGAAAAACAATAAGTCATTTTTAACAAGTCTCTAGATGGTTTCCTTTAAGGTCTTTTAAAGCCACAATATGGTACTTCTAGGGGGAAGAAGAAAAAAAATGCACTTCTTTCACAGAAGGAGCATGGTTCTCTTTGGATATCCATGAGTACAAGATTCTCAAACCAGTATTGTGTTAACAGAAGTCATGTAAATTCACAGCACATCTCTGTTGTAGTCATATTCCCACTGACACCTGTAGGAGTCTACCATTAGTTTTCCTCATCTTGGACATGTGTTGACCAACTTAATTAGTCCATAAATCTCCCCAGAACAAGGTCACCCAAACCATCAGCAGAAATGCCCTAAGATGTACTGCACATCCAACCAGATCATAGACTCACCAATATTCAGGAAGTTACTCAACTAGTATTTCCTCAGGCATTATTACAAAACACAGGTTAAACCATCTGAGTCACTAATGGCAGGTGATCTGTCTATATACTGTGGGTACTTTCTTTCACATCATATGAGCGTGAAGCCTACCAACTAGTTATAGTCCCTATGAAGAGTCTGGCACTTCCACTATTCCCTCACAGATGTTCACATTACCAATTAATCATCACCACAGGGAGTCTTGGCACAGAGGCTAAGGGTTGAATATACTCACTTCAGTCTTGCTTTGGAACCCTTTCAATATTTTCCAAAACAAAAACAAAATATAAGTGAAAGAAATCAAAGAATTCACATCCACACTCAAATATATTATGCAATGTATAATAAATTATACAATTAACTGCCCTATAGCTGTGAGGTAAAATGATTTTAGGGTACAAACCTCCAGTTCTAGCTCCACTATCATCATATAGATTCAGATGCCTTTAACAATGTAAACTAATCATCCATGAAATTTAAAGCATATACAAATACTGTTGAAGCATTCTGAAAAAGGAACATGAAGTAAATACTTGCAGCTCTGCTAGTAAATAGGCATCACTTTGCATTGTATTAGTTTATTTAAAAAAAAAAAGAAAATGCACTGAATTAATGTAGTACAAACAGTGTAAGACAATATGAAGAATTTCCCCATATTCTCAGGGGATGACGTATTAAAGTTATTAAACATTTTCCATTTCCACGAATAAAAAAATGCAGAACGGCTACATTCCGATTCCTTAATTTTAAGTAAATCACCTAAATCCTTCATATCCAGAAAACTGCATTGGTTTTATTACGCTTATTTGTTGCTAACAGCACACTCTGTCTATGCACTAACAACAGAAGTAACAAAAATAATCAAGTACAAGAAGCATACTGTGTGTACACGTGTGTGTATATGTATTTAATGAAGACTTGTGAAGCACAGCAGAATTATCACTCCTACTCCACTAACAGACATAAAGGCACAATGAAGCTGATTTATCCAAGATAGTACAGAATATCCATCACAAACCTGGAGTTAAGCCTACTTCTCTTAATTCCCTTGAAATGATCTTTTTTCCTCACTATCACTTTTTGTCAATAGCTCAAGTGCTTTATAAAACCTTGATACTGATTTTACATACAAAAGAAGCAATGTGCTCTGTCAAATCACTTACCCACGACTGCCCACAAAACCAATGAAACATCTCGGAACTGAAGGTCCCTCCCCACGTGTTATCCAACAGGCCTCCCCAGCCCTGCAGGTCAATAATGTGACCACCCCTACTGCAAAAAGCAGTAAGGAATTTTAACCTGCCCTTTTTAAAACAAAAGAATTTCAACATCACGGTCCATATTGCTTCAAGCACACATAAGCAGACACCACATATATAGAAAGGTATTTGAAATTAGAATTCTTTATTCAGGGTTTCAGGTGAAACTTCAGTTTTAAAGAACCCTGAGCTCTCACAGAATACACAGAATTGCCTGTTGTAAGAAATATCATCATTAGAAACCCCCAACATGTAATGACTTGCTCTTTAATTACTTGCCAAAATGCTTTATTGGAAGCATATATAGTCTGTCTGCAGAGACATGCAAATACTGTTAAGCAGAATCCATGTGCTCTCCATAAAGCGTGTTCTCCAACTTTGGATCTCTTTCTTTGTGTGGGAACAGAATTCCCATACCAAGAGATGGGAAATTTAGAACTGCTGATTCACTCTGCAGAAGCTCTTACTCCTAACATCAGTATGTACTCTAAAATAAAGACACTCAGCTGCCAGGCTCATATGTAGACAGTGCTGTTAGAAAAAAAATCCTTAATTGTCTATGTGGCTGACAAGTATACACTAGTCTGAATGTTTTCCTAACTATACATTTCTCAAAATTCATCCATTTTATGACAGATCAACACTACAGCCTTTCCCAAATCTCATATTTAAGCACACTCTTTCAAAGGGAGAATAAATTTCAACAGCCTATAAAGCAGTTGGGTCTTTCACAAGCCATCATCACTATTTCTATACAGTAGCAGAGGAGTAGATAGCAGTATTTCAGAGTAGACAAAAATATGCAGAAACCAAAGAAAATGCATAATTCAATAGGAAAATTCTAACTAAACCAAATTCTTGATATGTACTATAGGGACATATAGTTTCACGGTCTTCTACAAACATGTACTTTTCTTTGCTGGAAGAGAAGGATTTCAAAACAACAAAAAAGCATTTATAGGTAAGTGAAAAAAACATACTATGAAATATAATTTCAATACAGTTAAGGCATAAGTGTTGCAAACATACCTTTGAAGGAGTTAGGAGATGAACACCTACAGCATGCTCTAGCTTTCAATAACAGACTACCACATGTTACAGAAATTTTAAATATTCAGGACTTGGATAATAGCAGCTTTGAAAACTGCAGAGATGTATGAATGAAAAAACAGGAAGTTAAAACATTTCAAACTGAAAGATTTGAACACTCCCATTAAAAGTTGGCATATATGAAATATGTCCCACAACTTAAACAAAATAAACAAAAAAATAACCTGTACTTAAAAAATTGGGAGTGGAAGGAAGAATAGAAGCAGTTTCTCATAGTGTGATCACAAGAAATTAAATTATAAGTGACACGATTCTAATGAACCAGAACTGATTACAATCTTTTTTAATAAAAAGGTATGCAAACCCAACAAACAAAATGGATCAGGGCTTGGTAAAGATCACTAGTTTAGCCTCAGTGTTATCTACTGCACATCTGCCACACCACATTATCTTACTACTCAAGCATCATTTTTGCATTTTAATGTAGTAGCTCCATCAGATTAATGCCCAAGACATTTCAGCTGTGTTTCAAGTAAATAAGTGGACATACAGGAATATTAAGCATGGCCCGTATCACTGACACTAAGCAAAGAAAATGTGATTAGCACCAAATTGCATCTGACAGGGGAATCAGAAAGCTGTCAAACACAATGACATGGATTCAGTATTTAGAAGGTAAAAGGGGGAATAAAGAAGCTGGCCAGTCTGGCATGGAGACAGCAATAAAACACAACAGCTATGATAAATTAATTCATTTACTTATGAAAAATTAGAGGCTTCCACATGCAGCTCTCATTTATAATCTTGTCAATCCGGCAGAGTAAATAAAAAGCCTATACAATGCACAGTGGGATGGGGGAAGAAAAAAACAACAGAGGGGGGAAAGAAAAAACCAGATTTTTGCATTTAATGTAACAGAATAATGTCTTACATTAAATCACACTGGATCAAGCCTTTGATAGGAGTGACTAACGCAAGGATACATTATAGCAGGGGTTACTGTGTGTACTGGAGACACACCGTGTTAAAACAACAGGGAGGTCTGAGATCAAACACTAGTAGCCACATAAAACAAAATGAGCATTTTACATTTTTTACATGCAAGACTGGTATTACTAATAGTCTATCGAAAGGATGCCAGAAAGAGCTAAAGAGGCAGAAGGGGAAGGAAATTCAAAGGACTGGTCCTTGGGACAAGAATGGTTTTTAGAAGGAGGTCATGTCCTCCTAACAGCTGGTGTGGCCATTAACAGCAATCTGCCTTGGAAATCCTTTTCAGGTAAAATAAGCTGTACAACATCCTGCAGCTCTGACTCTGCAGTGCTTTCCAAGATGTTCTCTCTGGATCACCAGGCAGACCCAGAAGGTAATACCTCAATAGCAATATGGACAGAGAAATTTTTTCCGCTGAGATCATTGTTACAACAAGGAGATTAGAGAAATATTGGCCTTTCAGATGAATATTTCACTGTCTGGAAATTGCCACTAGGGTGAGTTCAGACCAGAAAATAACAAATTTCCTGCTAATGAAAGAAAAAACTACCCCTTTCTTAACAGAACAGCACAGATCACCACCACAAAAATATAAGGCCAACTGTCAGCACCAGCGCAGAGAACGGATTTTCACCTTCCAGCGTTTCACACGTTGACTGATCCCTGCAGATCTATTAAAATCCTATCTGTCCTAAGCTGTTTACAGTACAGTCCATTCATATATAGCCCTGAATACCGGCAAGATTGTTCCAAAACCCAGTGAAAAGAGCTGCCCCTACCACTTGCCAGATGTTTACTCTACAGCAGCCTAAAAGGACTCTAGGAGATCAGACAGCCAGTGTGCCCCAGAAATAAGTTTTGATGCCTGTTCCAAAAAGGAAGCATCAAAAGACAAGCTGGTCACTAGCAGCATTCTCCCACTGTTTACTACACATCCACTTTATAGGGCGTGACAGACCAGGGCAGAGAGGCTTCTTGCTGACAAGCACATGAGAAGTCTGTGGCAGCACGTTCCGTGGCAGAGCTGGAACCTCAGCCCATTATCATTTAAGACTAGGACTAATGGCTTAGCCCAAAACCACCCTTCTCCCTACCAAGTGTAGTTCAATCTACAATGACTTTTATTTTATTTTTATCAGCACATGTGTGGAGTGGTGGAAGAAAGAGTGAGGAAGGAAAGTCTCACCTCTAAATCAGACACAGCTGCAGAGCCAGGTCTGTGCCACCAGAGCAGTTCTGTCAGCCTTGTGACTAGTGCTGGTGTTGCTGCTTAAATCCTAACCTCCAGAGTTAACAACAATTAGTACTTGTACAGGGCTGTTTTGAAATCTGTGAGATACTTGAGAACAAATACTTTCTAGTTCACTTCGGCAAATCAATTGCAATTAACCTATTTTCAGAAAACTATTAACCCTCAAGGTTTTGACTTTTGTACCTTTGCCACGTACGCCACGTACCTCTAATCACTAAGGTGGTTTGTTTGAGGTTTTTTAATATGCATTATTTTAACTAAAATATTTTCATTTTGGTCTACAAAGTACTTTATAACCACTTCAATATATATACAATTCAGTGCACATATACATTCTGTTTGACACCTTCTGTTGCAAAACCACAGATTAAAAGTGTTGCGAGGCCAGCTGGGGCTTACTTGTGAATTTCTGCAAGATTCTGATTTTCTTCCCCCATCTAAACTTAAGTATGCAACCCTTATGCTTGAGGAGTCAATCCTCCAAATTCAGGCTTCATCCTGGCTATATAAAAAGATAAGGAAAACAAAGGTAGACATTGCTTAAACACCTAAGAGGAAGACAGTTAAGCAGTACTAGGGGTATAATTGATCTCCCACCTGTCCGTATTTGGAGGCCCAGTTAAAAATTGCATGTTATTGAAATAACAATTTATTTTCCCAGTGTCCTGCATCTTCTCAACAAAACCAAACCAATCCTGTAGCATTCCTGTAATGGAATATTTACTACGTTATCATCTGAAAATAATGTGTTTTCTACTTTTTTTTTTAATATATAAAAGTGCATATAGTAAGGTTTTAGAATTACCCAGTACTTCAAGTTCTCTGCCAATTTGTGGACTGCTTTGCTTTTCCATCACTGAATTTTACTCAACCTTTTGATGGAAGACAATCTTCCTGTACTTTATGAGACCAACACTCAGGCCAGAAGAGGGCACAAAGTGACCCTGAGGAAGCCACAAGTCAGGCTACCCAGGAACATTTATGAACTGACCACTCAACCTTTCATCGGTCAAACTCACAACCATAACCTCCAATGAATTTTTAATTCTTTCATATCTGATTTTTACAAAGCTCTGAGAGAGGCAATTTAAAAGGCTGCACTGTATGCATCACTGGCAACACAACCGGAGGAAACAAACATAATTATTAAATGACCTCTACATCTAAAATTTTAACATCCAATTTCAAAATTTCAGCCAATTTCACGCCTTAGGTAATGAAAAATGTGCACTATACAAGTTTACATGACCTATGTGAACACAGAGCATAACCAGAGTAAGAAGAAGGAAAAAAAAAAAGCCTGATGGCACTCTGTGACATCAAAGTTACAGCAAATACTTAGTGGCTGGCTAAACCTCCGTACCAGATAATGCCTGTTAATGATAAGCTACTTCACACCGCTTAACTGCCCTTTTAAAGCATGTTAAAAGTACACTTTTCAGCATAAATACCTTTTTATTTTAACACTACCTGCTGCATTATGGAAATGTTGCATTACAGCTCAGAACTATGCCATAAAACCCTGGCTTATGATTAAATTTGTTGTACTGTACCCTGGAGCAGAGTTTTTGTGGGTTTGTTGCTTTTAGGGTGCACAGCTAAAGAAAACAAAATATCTTACAAAAATAACTTTTCCCCACAACATCTATAGCTCCAAACACAAGAAAGTATAGACCAGATAAATGCCCAGTCCCATTGCCACTGAGAATTTCACAACTGGTCACGATACAAAGCATCACCAGCTGTAATATCTTGAGCATTTGCTGCTCAATCAAAACAAATTTTTGGAAACATTTTCCTATTTTCTCTTCATCTGCACTATTGCAAGAGAGAAGCCTTAGCCCATAGGGCTGAGACAAGGAGCAGACTGTGGACAATACGGCAATGCTGGAACAAGCATTTAGGAACAGGAGAGAACAGACTTGAATTAACCATTCTTTACTTCCTTCTCCTACTCTTCCTTTAACCTATTTCACTCTCTTCATACTTGCCTGCCATGTTTCACTTGTTAAGAAACTTATGAGCTCTTCATCCTTTTTTTCTCAAATTCCAAGAGAGGCACTGATATTAAAGTCAGCTGCAAACAAGTACTGAATTGCAGTCTAGGTAATTCATTTTCATTCCTAATCCACAATTTCAGGTAACCTCAGCAAATATTTAAATATTTTGAAATATTTAAATCTGAAAACTGTATAAAACCAAAATTTCTATACAAGTCCAACCAGGCACAGGCTAGGGCCCAGACCCTGCAGTATTTGGCCTATTTAATTAAATCTGGGGACTTTGTCCTGACCCAAAGGGGCATTTCGAGAACTGTCTACATCAAAAACTGCTGGTAATTGCAGCTTTGCAGAGTGCAGCCAAAACCATTCTAGCAAAAAACTCTGTGTAATTCACAGTAAGAGTGTAGCACAGCCTAGTCCACTGCCATACAAAGTGTATCTCACACCTGCCAGCACAAATGACAGCAGTAAAAGCACATTGGCAGGTGACTTTCTGAAGGGGAGACGAGACCCTTTCTGCTTGCCCAGGAAGGGAAGCAGAGCTGCACGTTGGTGCTGCTCACAGATGCTGTGAGAGGGCACGGAGAGCACCCCAGGGGCACGAATGCTCATCCATGTGCACCTGAGTTGCAACAGCAATCTGAAGCCAAATGAGGGCAGAAATGACTAATGGCATCACTAGGGCCCCAAAGAGTTTTAACATTTAATCTCTGGCCCAACTGAAACATAAATTTCTCTATATTTAACTTAAGAACCACTACTTACCCATCCCTATCCATCACTGACAGCACCCACTGTCTTCCCTCAAGTTTCTTCAGCACTTGAAGACAAAATGATATCAAACAGATGCCACTGATCAGGAATCGGAAGAAGAAAGCAGGGGGACTACATGTGTATCTGAAACCATAATCCAGCATAATCCCTGATCCCAAAACAAATGATCCCACCTTCAGGCAAGTCTGCAGGCTAATAAAAAGCCTGGCAGTCTAGAAGTTTAAGATGTAAGGTGGGCTCAGTGGGGTATGAACACTGCACCATACCACCTTTTTCTGCAGAGCCCACACTTAACACACTTAAGATACAGAACAATGATCTCGGTATCTGACAACAGCTGAATTCTGAGGCAGCAAACAGATCATTACTCATTTAAGAAAAACATCCCAGGAGGAAAACTATAAACCATTAGCTTCTGCCTCACAGGGACAGGTAAGGCAGGTCTGCACTGTAAAGGATGACAGGGTATGGCAGAGGCAAATGCCCTCACCCTCCTCTGACCCAGCCAGCTCAAGGTCACAGTCGCAAGGGACCAGGAACGGCTGGGACCAATGTCCTGCCTGGCCAAACAAGGACTCAGCCTCCATGCAAGCTGTGACAGGTCCCTGCTGCTGTACCTTCACCAAGTTTATTTCCCATATTAGTGAGCTGAAAGGAAGCCCACGTATAACTGCGTTCTTTCAAACTGAGAGGCGTGATGATGTGAGCAAGAAAATCAGTAAATAAATAAAAAGGTTAGATCAGTGAGCTTGCCCCAAATGGGGCAAGTGCCCCTGCTCCTCACTCCCATGCCAGCAGCAAGTACTGCAGGTGGTACATTCAGGAAGAAAAATGACACACAAACACTCAGCAAGGTGTTTATTTTACACACAATGCTTCCGTGAATACTAAACATCCCATTTTTCCCATTTCCTCCAAATTAATTTATTCCCAGTATCTAGCATTATGGTATCAAGAGTGGCCAGCATAGATTAATCACTTTGCCTACATAGCAAATGCCTTAAAATTCTTTTGCACTTCCAGCAAAGAATTTAGAATTAATTTTCTTGGAGAAAGGCAACCTGACAGTTCTTTTTAACAATGCACTAAAACAGAATTAATGACAAGGAAATTGTTTATCTTCTCTGGTTTGCAAACATTTCTTTACATCAAATACAATATTAGCTAAAAAATGACTATGATAAAGTCTTTTTCACTGAAAGCAAATGTATACAAATTGACAGATAAAATGGCAGCCAAATCAAATATTTAGTATTAAAGGTGAAATACTAGCCGACAAAAAAAAAAAAAAAAAGGAAATTCTAAGCTAAGACTTTCTATCTTCACTTTTCATCTTATCATTTAGTTACATCTAAACTTTAAACAGAAAGCAATGTTGCACCACTCTCCTTTACAGTAACCACGCAAAATAAGTAAAGCAAAACAGAACCATGAGCAGAGCACAGCAATACCTTTTGATTTCTCTGCTTTTGTCAGCTTGCATCCAAAAAGGAGTATAACTTTGCTGTTAATTTACTACACTTGTGCTTTCCAGTCTCCCTATACCATTGGACAGCACTTTCCCTGAGTTTCCTCAAAAGTGAAGAAAAAAAATCCCAGTTCTTGAGAAGCAATTAGGAAAACTGAAAATAAGTGTTCTACAGAAGGGTAAAGAAGCAGTATCAGACAGAAAACCCCAAACACTAATGATTTTTAAGTAGATTTGAATACTCCAAAAACATAATTAAAAATTCGATGCATTTTTCATAAAATAAGGTAAGTAATCTCTTTGTCCTATAGAAAGCAAAATTCTTAAACATTTTTTACCTACTTGGTAAGCAAGGTGCACCCAGTATTTCAAGTATAGAGTATTTTAAGAGTTCTTTGCACAGAACTAAAATCTACTTAGAAACTAAGATTAATGATACCGACTGAAGAAAAATTTCTGACACAGAAAATATATGCATTGGATCAAACACCAAAAGTATATCTTTAAATGAAAAAAATTGTTCAGCAAATAAAAATATATTATTTTAGCTTTAAGTCATTAAACCACCAGATGAAAATTTGTGATAGGGGATGATACAAAAAAAATCCCCCAAAAATTTGCATTATCTGGGTGGGAAAACTGTGAGTTAATGGAGAAATTGAATTTTCGCTATTTAATAGGAGACACAAACATTCTGCTTTGACATCTGTTCATAGGTTCTACTGCAGCAGAAAACCAGAAAACCACCAGAATTTTAGCTGTCAAAACAAATCCTCAAATTAAAGAAAGTAGGAGGAAGTAAGTGCTGAACAATTACACACTTTCAGCATCACAAGTCTAGCATTTAGTCAGAAAAAAAAAGTACGCAAGAAGCATGGATGCAGTTTTAACACTCAGCCAAATGCTAGAAGGATTACTATGTTGGAAAAGCACTCAGACACCACACACCCAGCTTTACAACAACTTATTGAGATCTCTGAAAAAACCTGGACCCAGATTCAAGCGTTACTTATCACTGCCACAGCATCTAAACACATGCTCAGCTTCAAGCACATGAACAAAATCCCCTTGGTCAGGAGACAACTCACAACACTGAGCACTTGCTTACATGGCTTTGTGGACAGGGTCAGTATAACTCTCCTCTTCTGATTTATAACACCAGACCAACACAGTGATGGTGAAGAGCGATTACAGCACAGCCAAGAGACGCGTCCACTGCAAGAAGGTAAAGAACTCCTTTAAAAAATGTTCAGGGTACTGCTAAATTCAAAATACAGCTTTATGTATCACAAAAAGCAATTATTTATTCTTCACAGAATTTAACATTTCGATTTCTAATGGTCCTTCTCAGTTTCAGGTTTACTTTTTGTATTGTAATCCTTTTATTTAAAGTGTTTGGTAAATTGCCATGTTATGGCATTGATTCTTCTATTTTAAAATAAATTTAAACCAAAAAAAAAACCCAAAACACCTCACACAAACCCCAAACACTTAATGTAATTACTTTCCTGGACAATCCATAACTGGGTTTTAACAAGTTTCTTTTAAGGGGAGAAAACAGGAAAAAGACACTGGTGAAAATGCCCCAGCACCATAAATGAATTGGGACATAAGGTGCTGAACTACCACACAATGTCCTAGTAAATACTAAACCAGGATGCAGATTACAAATGCATTTCACTCTCTTCCAAGCTTTTGACATCACAGGACCCAACACTATCACACTGCCTTTGAAGATGGCCACTAGAGACCAATTTGAAAAGAACCCCACTGACTACAGCTTTAAACAGATTTTCAAATTACAACATGTGGTGTTCATGTCATCTGAGCTGACCTGACTTCCAAAGAAGACAAGGGCACCACTGCAGTAGCTACTAGTTACCACTGAAGAGTTTAAAGATTAGAGAATGCACGTGCAAACAAGCAACAATTTTGGAATCAGAGCCTGCATTCCAGCTGACAACAAAAACAGAAAGCAGCAGCGGAATCAAATCCTGTTCAAATCTTCCTTTTGATGTGTTATAAACAATAGTTTAAAAGAGAAACTGTCACAAACATAACTGAATGAGACATATTGGAAAGGCCTCTTTTCAAAGTTTCTAGTAAAGCAGCAGGTAAGAACTGCAGCAGGTATCTGGGGAACACAGTGCCGCGTCGCACCGTTAGCAGGAACTCCATAAGGGCACACAACTAATCAGACCACCTTGAAATGTACTTTTCCTTCTGCGAAGACGGAAGAAAGGAAATGGTCATCGAAGGAACAGACTCTTCTACCAGCCCCTATCTTTTAGAAATAAAGTGTTTTCTGTTCGTATGAGTGACAAACTTCTTTGCACGCGTACACATTGTTTCATACTTTTGCTATGGAATCAAAAATTCAATACTATCATGTTATTAATCCCCAGCAATACCTACAATCAGCAGTTACTACTGCATGTGTAAACAGGTGCAAGGTAGTGCATATTTTTCCATACTTTATGAAATATATTCCATGATATTACGGTAGATAAATCAACTGCTCTTCTCCTTCACAAATTGAATTTGATACCAGACGGCTGGCGCAAATTAGGTTGCGATCCGATCCAAAATGTTTCCTATTAAAAATGGAAAATTCCCAACAGTACTTCATTTTTTTGTGTAACTGAACCATACCAAGCAGACAGGGAAAAATGCTTTTCTGTTTAACTGATCAAATTAAACAAGCAAATCCAGTCTGAAAATAATACCCCGAAAAGTGTAAGAGCCATTCCTTTTTGCTCCACCACACAACACGTTCTTGCCTATAGAAAGGGGAAAATCCACAATTAAGAAGCTCCGCTTCTTGACCTTGAACACAGAAAGACCAGTCATTAAAAAGAAGGCTTATTTAATTTGAAATCATGTTACATTGACAAAGGTCTGAAGTATTGGACTTAAGCATCACTTTTTTCCGATATTCCACATAACCATCAGTTTAGAAAGCCTCATCCGAGTTCTAGGACTAGGTCTGCTGCATGTGACCTGCTGCTTCTTTCCCCTACCCCCCCTCTTCACCACAGGACTTTAAGAGCAAAGTTTTCATCTACATCACTTGTTTGGGTTGTTCATTTGCTGGTGACACCAGGAGTAATGCAGAATGGACACCGTGCAGCAGACAACAAGCTATTTCCAGAAATCATCCTTGGCAGCTCCTGTGAAGGCTCAGCTCTGAGAGCAGTGGAACAGGCCCTCCAGCACACCAGGGCAGGTCACTGGCACCACCACTGTCTTGCAGGTGGGAGCAGGAAAGCCACCAGATGGAGGCCAGAAGTTTGATAGTTGCAACAAGTTCAGGACTCGAACCGAGAAAGCAAGTAGGTGACATGCTGGGTTTTGCTTTAAAGATGCAACTTTGTCTTTCTTTTTTATTTTCAAATTAAGTGCCTGCTCCAAAAGGCTGCCAAATAGGCAGGATGGTGCTGAGCACTCCCCAGGAAGCTCCAGCAGCTCACTGTGCCCAGCAGCACAGCTCCCATAACCCCCCTGGCAGGTAGAGCTGAGCACTGACACTCAACTTCTTACAAGGTTTGAGCCTTGGAACTCTCCTCAAGACACACCTTAAGCAATCAAAGGGCCTGCACTGAAACAGATACAGCAGAACAATCGTTTCTGAAGTGAGGGAGATGTGGTGTAAGTGCTTTCTTCCTTATGTAACTGAGACACAGCAAATTACCTTTGTGGTAATTTCCTTCCAGCCATTCACTTGAATATCATACAAACCCACATATTTTAATGGACTTATTTACATCTCAAGTTAAGTTACAGAAAAGGAATAATTCTCCATCAAGTCAAATTACCCAGAGATCAAGATTTTGATATTAGACGTAAATAACCTCTTTATCAAAAACAGAATAGCAAAAAGTGTTTGTTTTCATGTCTAATAATACAAAAATCTTTAACACAGTGTGGTAATTGACTCAACATAAGGCAGCCTATGAAACTAAGATTCATATCTGCCTTGGGGAAAAAAATGTGTATTTCAAAAAACAATTAAAACAATTTATGCCAACCCATCTGATCACCATCTCCAACACTGCAAAGTCAAACTAGCCATACTTTGCTGTGAAATCTGGCAGAAAAATAACTTAGCTCAAAAATCTGCTGTGTTTGCTGTTTTCATTATAGAGACCTTTCACATAGCCTATGCAACATCTATGTTTACAGACCCTGGGTGCTCATATTATTAAACATCAATACAATCTGTGTTTATATCATCTCCACGCTAATCAGATCGATTACTTCTGATATATTGCCCTGTCACACCACTGTAATACTAATCAAACAAATGGAGCTGCAGGGAGATGAAGCTGATATATAGGTATTTAATTCTGCTTTTTCCCTTTTTTTTTTATGTTCATGGGCACCACTGCCACAGGAAATAACAGAACTGCCAGCAAACCACAAGCACTACAGAAGTAGCATTGCATAGTTTTGTTAGGGGCCATGCAATAAGAATATAATCCAGCATAGTATGACAAAAACAACCTTGAATGAGAAATGAGGCTACCGGTCTCGCTTCAGTTCTAAGAGGCAATTAGAGCACACCATTTGAGAACACCCCAAGAGTGCCTTAGGGTAACAGCAGGACACTGACTAACAGCCATTTGCCTGGTCAATCCTTACAGAACTTTCTCAAAAGACATACAGAGATAACCTTGCAATTAAAAACGTCTTTGTAAACATTACAGCTTTGCAAATTTTTATTACAGCAAGACTCTTTCACAGTTAATCATTGTCTACTGTAGTATTCCTCTACAAAGAAATTTAACTTTCAGAAGTCATTATCTTTTCAATTCTCTTTCATCTCTAGAAGCTATTTCTAGAGCTCTATTAATCTCATTTACAGCTTGTAAACTAAGATATAAACTATATCCATCATTGAGGCATACTTTATATGTTATAGAGCCATTAAAAGCATTCCAGTTCATTTTTAGGTCTATTATTTAATCAAGCCGTATTCCATCTTAACATATAGTATGAAAACCTAGACTATGAAAACTTCTTCTCATTGTCCCAAAATGAACTGATAAAGACAGGAGGAAATGTAAATGCATAATTGTTTTTGAATCCTCTCTGATCTGCTTTATTTTTTTTTCTTCTGTATGTGGAAATATCCATTAATTTTTTTTTTTTAAATAAATGGTTCTTTTCTTTAAATAAAAGGTTTTTTCTTTCAAACAAAAAGAGTTCTTTGTAATAAAATCAACATCCATCAGAGCTACTAGGCATGCAGATTAGTCTCTTCACGCAGAGACACTTGTTCACCAAGACACCAGGACAGGCTGCTTTGCAGTGCTGGCTCACGTTTCAGTGCTCCCTGAGCTGGTGACCAGCACATCCACCACCTGAGCAGAACTGACAGCAAACTTCATTGCCTAAGAAGGTAATTTAGGAAAGGGCTATGATGGCCACACAGAAAAGAGCAGAAGGGGTTGCTGGACAGCACAGTTTATCTGCCCAGCAGCTCATTCAAGTTCCTGAGAAAGCAGGGAACAAACCCTATGTTGAATGACTTGTGTTCTGTATATATTACAAAAGCGGCTTCTTTAAATAAAAAAGTAGCAAGAGGAGAAAGGAAACACATTCTGGAATATAGTTTTAAAATGCTAGCATACCATCAATAGACAAGAGTAATAAATATCTAACATGTTTACTGTATTGAATCCTTGACACCCTTCAAGAAAATAAAATATGACTATTTTTATAAGCATACATACAGTGCTGTTACAAATGTATTATTACTAATTTCAAAGCATTTGACTTATTTCATCTGAATAATCTTGTAAAAAAAAAAGGTCTCAGCAAAAATAAAACTTGAATAAATCGGTTTGGTTTAACTTCTGCATAAGTTAAATACAACATGACAAAATCCAGAACATTATTCAGAAGCTATAAAAGCTAACCTTGACTTTTTAGAAACACATCAACAGAAACTTTTAATTTAGAAAAAAAACAGACTGTGTTCTTTTCTTACATAAATGCTTCCAAGTTGCTGGAGCAGTAAACAAACTATAGCCAGACACTGTTAATTTGGACCAGAGGAGTAGAAAACACTCCGGAATACTCCTAGACCTCAAAAGAGCAGTAACATAGAGAAATTATTCATATGAAGACAGTATGTATGTCTGAATTCATAAGAGCTTTCACTGAAGAGCTGATGAAAGCCAGTTGCACCCCATTAAATGCATGTTTTT